GGAATAAATGTCAGTAAAAGTACTGCAGCGCTGAATACTGAAAAATGGCCTGGCCAGGAAGGGGGTCTAAACACCGGGTCTTGAAGTGGTTAAATAATATATTAAACATTTCCATATTTAATATTATATTTAATATTTTATTATGTATTTGTTACAAAATATTGGCTGTTTATAAAACTAAGGGTTTAACACTATTATGAACATTTAAGTGGATCTGTTACCTCTGGAACCTCTTTTGGGTAAATGCAGATCTCTATTTTAATCTTAAAGTGGTAATGTGCAGTGAACAGGCACCCCATGGAAAAAATGTAAGCCTCTCAAAAGAGTCAAGATGTGTAATTTGTAGGGCAAGAGTAACAGGTGTCAGTGAGGGGCTAAACTAATGGGTCTAATGCATGGCACTAGTGTTCTGAATGTTGTTCACTGTATTCCAGACCTCAATTTAGGTCTTAAAGTGACATTAAAGGATAAATTTTTTTCGCTCCCCCCATGTTAATGTCAGCACTTACCTTAAATGATGTCTCTTAATCCGATCTTCTTCTTCTTTCCCCATGTTTTCATCTGTTCCTCCAGCGGTGCGGCGGCTCTCCGATCCAGCGCTGACTCCTCTCTGCTTGCAGGCACTTCTGATCCTGTGGTGTCTGCATGCGGGTGCACGCGTCCATAGACTTACCTTGCATCTCTGCTCGTCTCCTGGCCGAGAATCCGAACTGCGCATGCGCCCGCCCCAAGATCCTTTGCGGCCGCACGAGCAGTTCCGGATTCTCGTCTCGTGAGCAGTGATAACGAGGTAAGTTTAAACCACTGTTAAATCGTTTTAAAAAAAAAACTTTTTGCCTATTTCTACTGCTCACTAGCAGTAGATATAGGCAAAAAAACCCAGAGGCTTTAGAACCCCTTTAAGCATGACAGTTGCCAGTAGCTCTTGGTGGTTTTGGTGCTGAAACAGATGGTTTGCAGTGACAGCTGTGGTCCAGCACTAAGCTGAGGAGCTTTATCATTTAGTTTTCTGGGCTTGTGCTCCCTAACAGTGTAGCTCTTTGTTGCAGTGTAGGAAGTGCTATGACGTCTGTTTTGACATCATGAGTTCTTCCTATAAGTCCATATGCACTGGCAGGTTCTGCCCTTTATCTCCCTGCACCAAAGATTACATTTAGAAGTGATCTGTTGAGGCAAGGGTGCATGCAGGGGGCAGATCTGGTCTCCACTGCAAGATTCCAGGCCACCCATAAAGAAAGAATGTACACACAAAACAGATGTGAAAATGGACACTTGCATGGCACAGTTGTATGTTCAAATAACTCAAAATACATTAGTGCTTCTTCAGAAGCACTAATGTAACATCTCATGTGCTTTACCTGAAGACCTTCATTTTGGTAACTTTGTAAAATACAGTCTTTAACTCCTTTATATTTTCGTTTATATAAGCTATCAGCTTGAAGACGAGTTTTGACTACATCCATGGGAGTAGCAGTTCCCCAAGAGATGGCTCCTAAAATTACAAAAGGGACAGAGGGATACCATTGTAAACACTGAACTTTCACATAAAATATGAATCAATGAAAGTGTTGCCAATGGAAAAAGCATTATTAAGTGATGAAAACCGAGTCAGTAATGGGACTGCAGACAGCAAAATAACAATACAAAATAGGTTGCACACACTAAATAAAAATACCATAACCAATCAATTGGTTAGAAATTACTGTGGCTCCTTATTCAATGTATCTTTTTTTTTTTTTATATAATAACCATAGCCAACTTGATTGCAAATCTGAAGAATTAAAGAAATGCACAAACAGCTCCGACTAATAAACCCATTAACATGTACTAAAAACATTAATACATTTGTATTTTGTTCAAGGAAACCATTTTCAAGTGACAGCTTTTCTTGGACATATCATGGCATGGTACATAATTTACTTTGTATGTTGTAATTTACGTTGTAGGAAAAACTTTCTTTCTTGTTATATAAATAACAGTAATGTTTTCTCATTTTAGCATCATATGTTTCTATTTAGAATAGTTGTCATATAGTTGTGATAAGGGCATGGTATATTTTGGAGTGGATTCAGGTTGCTGTCCCACAACTTTTACTTTTGTGCTTTTCGTGATTATGTTCTACTTTGCTATCAGAAATTTTTCTAACTCTTCCTGTATCAGTACTGCTTGGACTGAGAAAAAGGTGGTAGACCCAAAAACTCCTAAAAATGTAACTGTGAGTATAAATAACAAAAAAAAGTATCACAGATAATTCCCCAAAGAATTCAAATAAATAGATGTGGAAGGAAACTGGAGGAGTATGGTTAAGTGGTTGATGACATTCTTATTACATTTTTAACACACTGAAATCTTTGTCATCATCATAAAGTTAAAAAAAAACTACATAGAATGGTTAAGAAGGCAACTTGAATAATGAGCCTGCTTCCATGGGACTGAGGCCACCCATTTGTCCCCTCCCTTCCATTCCTCCCTCCCCTTGTCGCAGCATTTAGGGGACAATTCTGATTTTCATGTTTTGTTTATTCCTTGAGTTTTAATGACTGAGCAAAGATTGGTTTCAGTACACATGATATGGTGATAATTGATTTAATAAAGTTTCTGCCTATTCAATATCAATAAAGTGCAGAAGTCATAATTTGCCAAATATGATGTGTTGAGTCTTTATTTATTATTATTGTTATGTTTTTCTAAGTGTCGTCTGCAGTCCCATGTCTTCTGAGAGTGAACCCCTGTACTGACCTAAATAGTAAAAGAACAGTTAATAACTTGAACCCACCAACCCCCACAACCTTTGCTGAGCATAATGGCACTTAATGCTTTCATTGCTTACTGCCAGGGAGGAAGTTCAAAGGAAGTTATTTTTTGAGAGTTTTCTCATGTGCTGTGCAAACTTTGCTGTGGTCAATAAACCTCCTATGCATTTCCTGTATGTATGTAGTGCTGTCATAGTGGAAGGATACAGTGACAGTGACACACACTTAATGCCCATTCACACTTCGTTGTGGCAACATGCACCTTATCACACTTTTTTGCAATGCATGGCAACACAGCTGCTCTATGTGTGATGCATTGTGGTGCCATTCATTTTAAAGTAGAGCACTGCACACATTGCACTGCAGCACACCACAGTGAACAAACTGCCAAGGAAGGGTCATGTATGTTTTTTCCACCCTTATGGTGCATTGGCCACCCTTTTATAATCAATGGGCATGCCTTAACTAAACACACATTAACGCAATGCCCTACCACACGTTAACACATAGCTAACTTCTGTGCAGTAATGTATGTCTGTTTCAGTATACATAGGCGTTTGTGATATGTGAATTGTATTATCTCCTTTATTTAACAATGTAACAGATGATCGTTTTTTGTAAACAAATCCTAGTATAACCCCTTTGTGACAGGAGCCCTACGCTGTACGTCCCCGTCACAAAGTGCCCAAATGACTAATCACATACACTGTACGTGATCAGCTATTTGGGACTGCAGAATGCTGGTAACTGCTGGAAATCAGAATACTGTCCAATAATGGAAGTGTTAAGCTTTTCCAGACACCTGATCCCTTTCAGGAATCAGGTGTCTGATAGTGATAGCAGTGCGATATTTACCGTACTTGCTGTCACTGTTTGACAGCTGGTACAGATCGGAATCCCAATGTGTACCAAATTTTTTCTACAATGTTTCAGAATAGAAAGCTACATGCTTCTATTTTGAAACAATGTTGCAGGCTTCTGATCGTTCTGGGAATGATCAGAAGCCTTTGCAGACACTGATCCTAACATGCTGTCATGACCAGTGTCACTAAGGTTATTATTGGTTGTTCCTAAGTTTGACGCAGCCTAATAATTACCCAGAATTAATTAATTAAATTATCAAGGAGTCATAGTGAGATCATTTCACAATGACTGTTTGATATAATTTAAAATAAAACCATTAAAAAATTCTGGCCTCCAGACTGGTTTCTCATCTACATGGTAATATCCACTTAGATCAGGTTGGGTTTATGCCCACCAGGGAGGCCAGGGATAATGTCATTCAGGTGCTAGAGATCATTCAGGCCTCCAATGCTCAGTCGAGGCCTCTCTTGCTTTTATCAACAGATGCCAAGAAGGCATTGGACCAAGTAGATTGGACGTTCCCGGAATCAACCCTTAGATCCTTGGGGATGGGAAATAGGATGATGTTGTGGATCAAGGCTATCTACTCCTCCCCCACAGTGCGAGTTAGGGTACTCTCACTGCTGCTTTCCTTATATCTAATGGTACACGCCAGGGTTGCCCTCCTTCAACTTTATTTTTTATTCTCATGTTGGAGCTGTTCCTTCGGAAATTCAAGATTATCTGTAATATCTCGGGTATTGTTATTGGAGGATGAGGAGGTGTGCATAAGGTGGCAGCATACACCGATCATATATTGTTCTTCTAATCCAATCCAGTAATTTCCCTTCCCAACCTACTCCAAGAATTCCACCTCTGCAGAGCGCTCTCTAACTTTCAAATTAACTTTGAAAAGTCCGAGGTGCTCAATGTCTCAATTCCTCAGACCCTATTATGTGTCGAGTTTCCATTTCGCTGGTCGAATCAGTCCTTGCGCAATCTAGGTACCAATATCCCTCGTGATCTTGCCGGCACCTTTACGATTAATTTCCAGCCTCTATTGAAAAACATCCAGGCTAACTTGTTGAATTGAAAAACATCCAGGCTGACTTTTTTAAAGTGGTATCCCGATGTGAAAAAGCCCCCCTGCCCGCTCCCGCACAACCAACACCCCAGGGCTTGTGGGGAAGAGGCTATTGTCCCCATCGGCATGGGAACAAGGTGCTTTTCCAAGGGCGACCCTGAAAAAGCACCCTCTCAGTGCCAAGGGCATGTGGCCTGGTGTGGCAGGTAGTGCTGGGATCAAGGGTCTGGTTAGGAATTTTATGGGGACCCAGAAATTTTTTACCCCCATTTTTGAGGGTGGGGTTCCTCCTTAAAATTCCTACCAGACCTTAAGGGCCTGGTATGACTTTTTGGAGAAACCCCATGCTTTTTTTTTCTTCTTTTTTAAATGGGGTCTAGTATGGTTTGGGAGGGGGACCCCGCACTGTTCTTTTTTTTTCTTTATTTTAACATTTCTTAACTTCTTTTTTTATTTTTCTTTTTTTTACATTTAATTAAAATATTTTTTTTTGTTTTATCATTTGCTTACATTTTTTTCTATTCTGCTCACTATCTCGGAGGTAGCGAGCAGAATAGCCGAGCCCAATGTCGAGCTGCCGGAGCTTGGGCTCAGACGATCCTTCTGCAGTTCGGCTCAGCCGAACATGCAGAGCAGAGCATGTTCGACTGACCCAAGCCAGCCAAAGGCAGACGATTTACGGCTGAGATCAGCCATACTGAGCTGAAGTGAATAGATGAACATCGTTCGGCTCTGTTTACTTCGGCTCGGTTATTCAATCGGATGCCTTCGGCAGCTTAGTGAATAACCCCCTTAGTGACTGTGACATTATATGCCAGGTAACAGGTGACCACTATTAACTGTTAGAGAAAAAAATGTAAATGTTAGCTTTTAGTTTTAAGCTGAAAAGTACAGACATTTTCCTGAAATCCTAGGGATGTGTGGTGTGTCTAAATAAAGGACAAATACATGAATTTAATTTCATGCATTTGTTTAGCTGTGCTATTTTGCTAAAAATAACAATAATTAAAACTGGGGAAAAGGTGTTTTCATTAAGTTTTTTCCTAATCATTTTATATTTTATTCCTCCTAAGTGAGGTGTTAGACACACATATGCGATATAAATATATAGCCCTATCTGTCCTCAAAAAAACAATATGTGTGGGTACACTTAGTAAGAAAGTATAATACTGCTGTGGAAGAATCACACAGCAAAAATTTTAAAAGTATATCAGTCATTCATAAACAGAAAACAAGCTCAGTCATGATGGGGTTAAAGCACATCCACAATTACTTTAAACATCATACTTTAGCAAAAACAAATATGAGTAAAGATTAACAATACAGTTATTACGGCCATGGAATGCTATTGCTACTGGCAAAACTGCTTTTTCTTCTTTGTGTCACAGAG